AGGGGAGAGGAAGGGAGGGAGGGATGTGGATGACAGTTTATTCTGCACATGCCCAAGTCTTTGCTGGGCCCAGGATCATAGCCCAGCAGACCCAGGGGATGCGGGAAGGGAGGGCTCCCGCCCGTGACACCCGCAGCGTGGCCATTCTTACCGGCACAGGTGGTCAGTCCGGCACACGCTGCGCAGGTCCAGGCAGTTGGGCTTCTCCTTGTCCTCGTAGGAGCAGCTGGGCAGGATGGTCTGCCGGCGGCGCTCGGCACACGCCTGGTCCTGGCAGGAGCAGAAGAGCATGCGGCAGGTGTACTCGCTGCAGGGAACTTCGACCAGTCACCCAGTCCTGTCAAGTCTACTTACCAATCAGCTGAAGCGACACACCCCCCTCCGTCACCACAGCGCTATCGTAGCCCAGGTCCGTGTGCTACACGGAGACGAAGGCAGCTCGACCGGATCCCAGCCTGACATGCATGTGCTGGGTGACCTCAGGGTCACTTCTATCCCTGGCTCCGCATTTGGCAACAGAGATGGTAGCAGTGCCTACCTCGGTGCAGCCTTGCTGCGAGGATTAAGAGAGATGAACCACAGGATGGACGGTGCCTGGTAGATGGTAGGCACTCGCTTTCTGCACAATGTGAGCCCTGTTTCTCCAGCAGCCTCGCTCGGCCTCCCCGCCTCTGGCCTCCCCACCGCATGGCCCACACTCGGTACGTGCCCACCACCTGCCAGTTCCCTCCTGCCCTCCAGCCTTTGTATGTGCTTTTCCAGCTGACTTACTCCCTGGCTTTCTCCCTCCCACTTTCCAAGGTTCAGCTCAAGATCCCCCCTTCTCTGGACCCCCAGGCTAAGGGGGATGCCCCTCCCTCCCCTGTGCTCCCTCCTGGGGCGCCCTCGGCCCTTGTCCCACTGCCCTGGGACCACTGCTCTCCTGTCTGGCTTCCTTTCTGGACTGGATGCTCCTTAGGTGATAAGAGAACATCGTGCTCACTCTGCACGCCCAGGCCTTAGACCCCCGCACTGCATGCAAGAAGGCCCGGTAAATGCTTAGCAACAAACAAGAAAAGCAAGAGAATCATAAAGAGGCAAATTTCAACTCACCGTAACAGCAACAAAACCCTCCTAATAATTAGGCTGCACTTTTTAAACATATGCTAATGGCCAGGCTCTGTGCTAAGCTTTGGACACACATCATGTAATCACGGTAACCCTGGGACACGGGTACTTTTATTCCTGTTTTATGGGTAAAGGCATAGAGACGCGGGACATTTAAAAATCTTGCTCCAGTGACAGACAGGAAGTCGAAAAGCCTGGATTCAAACCCAGAACTCTCAGACCCCAGATGGGCTCGGCTCTTGATGGGGAAGAACCAGCCTACGTGCCCCCGGGAGCCCCTCCCTGACGGCCACATGACCTCACAGGGATAGTGGGGGATTTCCGGTAGAGGTGGGACTGGATTCCTGAAGAGCCCTTCCTCTTCCTGGCTCTAGGGGTCTATGATTTAAATTACCAGCTCCTTGGGTTTTCACCTTGGTTTCCCCAGGATGCTTAGCATGGGGCTGGGCACAGAGAAGGCAAACAACAGGCCTGTGCAGAAGGAGGGAGGGAGGGAGGGAGGGAAGG